AAGCTTAAAGCACGCCCCCTCACTAGTAACAAAATGTTACCAGATAAAGAAGGTCCGGCTGCCTGTCCTGGTCCAGCCAATATGCAGAGGGGTTTAGGTTCAAACAAGCTTTATTTGTCAGAAGGCCAGCGATTCTGGAGAACAGTGAGAGTAGCCTCTCAATTCTATTCTGCCTCATTTATAATTCTAATACCTTTCATAATAAAATATAAAGAAACCAGCATAGAAAATGTTAATATTATCTGATAAGAAGTAACATCAAAGTAGTCTCCATTCTGGGCAGCTCCTGTGGCTCAAAGAAGTAAGGCACTGGCCCCATATGCTGGAGGTGGCAGGTTCAAACCCAGCCCCAGCCAAAAACTGCAAAAAAAAAAAAAAAAAAAAAGTAGTCTCCATTCTAACAAAGCAAAATGTTCAAACAACAGCAAGGTGATTTTCACTCTGACAAAATATCTAAGGGAATCATCAGAGAAAACGTCCTGTCATCTGAGTAACCTTTACCAATATCACAACACCTGTTGTCTATGTGGGACTCCCTCTTCAGAGTCTCCTGAGACAAACATCCTCACAGGTACAGAGAAACTGTAACTAGATAATCACTGGGTGTGGGAAAGAACGGGAGCTGAGCAGACAAGGTCAGCTCGGCTGCTTCAGCTCAGCTTCTCAGATACTATCTTGCAGGCCACTTTTTTGGCTTCAAGATCACTTGAGTATGTCCAGTGAATGTCCCAGGATTGTCTCTGTTGAACAGACTTCCTTATCTTAAAACATCCCAAGCTTTTAGACGAAGCTTTGTTTCTTTAACCAATTACAAATCAATGAATCTTTAAACCCACCTATAACCTGTAATGCACTAATTTGAGATGTCCTGCCTTTTCAGGGCAAAATGATCCCTCAACCCCCACTTTCTAAAGACCTGTCCCTGGGCACATAAGCCTTGCAGAAATGGGAAATGTTAAATAAACAGATCCTGTGGAGATGGGGCACATTAGCCCAGCATGCAGGCCCTTGTAAACCACCAACTGGTTGTCTCTGATGTTGTCTGACGCTCTGTCCTATAGAACTAACCTTGCCTTTTGCTTCTGTAAACTGCTTTGCATTAGGAATTCCAATCCCCTCCCAAACTGAAAAAACAGTATAAAAAACCTATGCCTCTGTAAAGCGGGCCAAGAGTTTGAGGATATGAATCCATCTCCGTTGGCTAGCCAATAAAGGACCCCATACCTAATTTGAACTCAGTGTGCTGGAGTTTTCCTCTACAGTCCCACTCATGTTTGGGCACAACACTTCCATGTACTGATTTATGACTTTGCAAGGAATTCCTATCTCCATGAAATGTATAAAACCAAACTGTAACCCAGCCAGGGTGAGACCACTGACTCAAGGCTTCTCGGGCATGGCTCTCTGGGCCATGGTCCTCAAACCTGGCCTTTGAGTTTGGGTTCTTTTCTGTTGGCAATCCTAATACAAAAGCCCAGGCCGTGGGCCATGAAGGAAAAACAGCCCCGTTGCTGAGTGAGTCCCCAGGGCCTAACTTACCTTTCGCTCAATTAATTGACGGGTCTTGAATTTTTGTTGTCTTTCACAGTACAAAAACACAACATCCATAGGAGAAGCATCATAGTGACCAAACATTTCCACTGACCCTCAATCCCCAATGTGTGTGCAGTCTCAGGAGCCCCAGGACTTTCCCCAGGTCTCTCTGAACCTTGTCCCCTCAGGAATGACTCCAGCGCCACTGAGCACGGTGTGTAACAGCTTGGTGTATTTACTTCCCAGAAATCCTGCATGTCCTGCCAGGGAGAGCTGAGCTGGTGTTAATGGAAAGCCGGTCCTGGCCAACCCTGTGGTGTGGACTCCCCATCTCAGAGCAGGGGCATTGCCTCAAATCTCCGTGGGAAGCTGGCAGCCTGATTACAAAGCTGCCGGGTGCTCCACTGAGGGAGAGACCACAGTTACAAACCGGGTAACATGGCAGTCAAAGCCCTGCCTGGCCAAGGCTCCAGTGCAATATCCCCACCGTCAGCCCATGAACTTCCTCCAGCTCAGGGCTCTCCTGCTGGGCTCTGCACTGGGCTGGGCACCTCCTCTTCCAGGCTGGTGGCCTACTTCCTCCCCCCCTCCCCCACCCCAACCTCCCGCCTCGCCCCTGAGCAATTCCTGCTGTGCCGGCAGGTCCCTCACTGCACCATGGCCTTTTTACACTGCCTTGGCCTCTGCCTCCAGCTGAGCACCCGGTCAGCCAACAGCATCTGGTCCCCGCTGTATACTGTGCACTTGGTATCGTGGCACGTATGTGATTCAGTGTTTTCAGAAGGAATGGCTATGGGAGGCTGGTCCTCAGCTGGCCCTGAGCCATTCTCCCACCCCCATCGTGAATTTCCCTGCAGACTCAGTTTCAGTTTTATTTCTACTCCGTGATTCCTAGAAATGAAAGTGAAGCTGCGTGATGCTAAGTTCCAGAACCCAGAAGACTGGAGAAGAGGGACTATTCTGGAAAGAGGGGGAGGGCGCTGGACGGAGGGACAGTACCCGGAAGGGGGGAGGTGCTGGGAAGAGAAAGGGGCGGTGCCAGAAGGAGGCGGTCCCAGGGGGAGGGGGCGGTTCTGGGAGGAAGGGGCGGCACCAGGAGGAGGGGGCGGCACCAGGAGGAGGGGCAGTGTCAGGACTGGGCCGTGCTGGAGGAGGGGTTTGGTGGCGCGGGCTGGTGCCTGTTCCAGCATTGGCTTTTACTGGGGGCTTGTTAGAAGTGGAGGGTCTGGGGCCCACCTCAAGACCAGTTTCAAAACCTGCATTTTAAGGAGATTTCCGCGATGACTGTTTGCAGGCGAGCATGAGAAGGCTGGCATCTGGCCTCAAGGCATTTGGCCTTCTTGTCTGCTTGGGCACGCATCAAGAGAGCCCTGCCACGAGGGGACAGGGGCTGAAGTCATCTTCTGCTGGTGGGGCTTTGGGGATCAGGTGCCCCCGAGCTTGGTGTACACATGGCCTCGCCCACACTGGTGTCTGCAATACTGGTGGAAGTCCCTGGACTTTCCAAACTCATTTTCCCAGGGCTGGCTGCCCACTGGCATTCGCATAAAGAGAAGAAATATATTGTGGTAAATGCTATTATATGAAGGGAATAAATTTAATAATTTTCCTCCCTTCCCTCTTGTCATCCTTTCTCCACAGACATTTATGCTAGGTGCTGGACGCTTGGGAAATGCAAATACACAGGACAAAGCCAGTGCTCCAAAGAGACAGGTGGGGGCACAGGTGAGAAGCAAAGGAGCCAAGTGCAGCTCTAGAGGCCTGTTCTGGGGGCAGTTACAGCGCCTTGGTGGGGGGAGTGGCCAGGGATGAGGCGAATGGCCCACTTCAAAAGCTCGTTTTCAGTTTCCTGATTCGGAGGAGAAAGGAGGAAAAGCATCGCACACTAACACCTTCCTCGATCCCTGTGTGTGTCCCAGGCATGAGGACAGCTGCTTCCGTAAGCTCAGCTTTGTGATATAGGTTTCTGTGCCCCCTGGTGTACCACGTGCACAACTCCAGTACACGCCTGGGGGTGCTCCAGTGAGCTGGTGTGGGGGCTCACGGCTATGAGAGGAAAGCTCAGCCAAGGCCTAGGCTTTGGCTCCCGGGGCGGCCTTCCCAGAGCAGCCTCGGACTGTGGCCCACCTCCTATTCTCACTCCTTCCACCTGAAGTGCAAGTGCCTTCAGGTGCCGACTACCTCTCATAATATAGCCCATGCTAAAAGGATTTGAGGCTGAGCCTCGGGGTTCCTCTCCAGAGCCGCTGAGCAGGGAGGGAGATTTATGGGTCAGAGTGCTATTTCAGGCAGTTTGCACTACCAAAAGCGGGTGAGTGTCCATGAGGTTTATCCTAAAGAAACTGGGTTTGCCTAGCCAGCTTCTGGCAGCCATGGCAGGAGGAGCTGCAGGTCAGGTAACCAGGCAGCCTTTCCCGTTCTTTAACTTTGGAAATCCATGTTGGTGGAACCTTATAAAAACGTGGTTTGAGGAGCGAGGACCTCTTGGATCCCCTTCCATCTTTGTTTGGTTTCCATCTCATGGTGACCCATGGGTAAACCCAGCTGAGACCAGCACCAGCTGAACCACCCAGACTTCTCACAGAATTCAGAGAAAGAACACCCTGATGCTAAGCCACTAAACGTTGGGGTACTTATTACACAGCAGTAGATAACTGCACCCCCCAGCCAAATTCCATGTGTTTGGTGGGTAGGAAACAGTAAAGCAACCTCAGGCTTGCCATGGTTATTTGTCTTGTTTTAGGCCAAACTTGCTGACTTTCAAATTAGATATAAATCCTCCAAATGTTTGGTTATTTGGTCAAGTTTTGTGTTTGGAGTGCATGTGTTTATTTTCTTACTAGAAAATAACTAGTAACTAGCTGTTATGGATTAAATAACTAGTAACTAGCTATTACGGATTAAATTATGTCCTATCCCCACCTTTCCCATTCATATGTTGCAGCCCTATCCCCCAAAGTGACTGCATTTGGAGACAGGTGCTTAAAAAGGTAATTGAGAGGTGAAGTGAAGCCATGAGGGTAGGTCCCTAATCCAATTGGACTGGTGTCCTATACAAAGGAAAGAGAAAGGCTAACCAAAGACACATGAGAAGGTGGCCGTCTGCAAGCCAAGGAGAGAGTCCTCAGGAGAGACAGAACCAGCAACAGCTCAATCTCAGACTTCCAGCCTCAGAAGTGTGAGAAAACAAGTTTCTGTCTTTTAAATCACTCAGGCTGCTGTATTTGTTACAGCAGCTCTCACAGACTAATACACTAGTAGGTTAATACAGAGAGACTTCTAAAGGGATGCTACTCAGGCTGTGCTTTTGACTTGAACTTTCTTCTCCAACTTCTTTTACACCAAGTGAAGAAAAATTTCAAGGGTATCCTTCTTGTCTATACCCCTGGCCAAAGCTGAATGCTTTGAGACATTCTTTCCATTTGAAAATTGAGTTTAAAAACAAACAAGTAATGATATTGTTCCTATTCTTTTTTATTAAGGAATCCAAGCTCGGTATTAAGAACATATACGAAAGCCTGAAGGAAAACACACGATTACCCACAACCTTCCAGTCTAGAGATGATCACCAGTGTGAGGCTCTCTATACTTTTTAAAAGCTTCTCCTTATTAAACTCCTCTTCAAGAGCTTACAGTGCAGCAGGGGCTCAGGGCCATCCAGAAACTCAAGGAGAAAACACTATCACTCAGGTTATTTCTGCAGGAAGCAGGTGCTGGGATTGCATGATTACAGCAAATGATGGGAGCAGGTGGCATAACTAGATACAGCTGAAAGTGACCAGCTAGGGGACACTGGACTTAAGTGATAGCCTCAGGCATCTCCATCACTCCACCATACCCATTCGTCCAGTGAGGTATCATTTACGCATAGATACCTATGTGCTAGGTGCTGTGCAAACTTCTGGAAATAAAAGAAGAATACAATACAGACCTCCCCGCTGCAGGGTCTCATAATCTAATGGAGGGTATAATCTAATACAAACTAGCGGAAACTGGTAATGGTATCTGAGAATGCGGTGACTGTGTGCTGTGGGCTCCAAGACCAGAAAGCCACCTCTCCGCGGAGATCAGAGAAGACCTCGTGGAGGTGATGGCTGAACGCGTGTGGACCTCAGATATAAGCTCTGGTTCTGAGGGTCGCACAGGCAAGATGGACACAGCCAGTTGCTGAGCCTGGTCTCAAAGCAGAACAACGTCCTCCACCACCTCCCCTTACAATGAATGGATGTAGATGAATGAATACAGGTAAGAAAACAGCTGAAAGCACTGTCCCTCTTCAGTGGAACGATTCAATAGCGAATTTACTGAGGGCCTGCCGGGCCTGAGTGAGCCGTTGAATTCTCTCCTTAAGGCATCTTCTCTTGGTAGTGGTCTCACTCTGTTCTTGAATCAACCACGAATAGTGGTCTTTTCTCTGCAGCAGCTGCATCATGGCTTTCTGCAACCAGTCACCATTCTCTCGGAGTATGAAATACTGGATTATAAATGGGATCTGGTTTGTGAGTCGTTTGCTGGTTTCCTGGAAGAAGGAGTAAGCAGGGTTTACTGGAGGGGTCTGAGCTCAAGGCTGGGTTGCAGAGAGAAGCTTGGATACACCTCTGGTCGCCTTGCCAAGCCCTGGTAAGCTCTCTGCCCCCCATGCCAGTGGGATCGAACCCCTCAAAGGTTCTTATCTGCCACCCCCTCTTTACTCTCAGGCACCCTGTATTGCAGGCTAGCAAGTGCACATCACTTCTGGGCGCCCTGAGAGCTCCCCTCCCCCTGGAGAGACCTGCTGGCCCCAGGCCCCTGACTCCCCTCTGGCGGAAGATAGGGACCGCTTCACACCCTTGCTTCATTCATGCCCTGTCTTCATAGGGTGGCCAGTTTATCTGGCGGCCAACCCCAGCACTGGGTAACTCCACTCTGTTTTGCTTCACAAAGCACTCCAGGAGCTGGGCTTCTTTGTAGTTTAAAAGCTATTCCCCTTTCTATGGCATCCTGACACCTACACATCGGGGTGGGGGGACACGGTCAGAAACCACAAAGTTGATTGGGTGACAAAATCCAGGGAAAGGACATTTATTTCACTTGTGTCTTGTGGAGCTGGCAAGTTCGAGGCATGCTAAGAGCTAAGGGCCTCATACCATGCAAGAAAACTCCTTGCAGCCAGTAGCCTTAGCGTTCCTCGTGTTTTGCTGGGTTCAGATGACAGTGATTTTGTAATTCATGCACTATATGTCCAATATAAAGGACTTTGAGGTCTGGATTAACTTTGAGTACCTGCTCTGTCACATTAAAACATTGATTTTAGACAAATTAATAAAAAATGTCCTCACAGGGCTCCTGGAAAATGATAAATGAGATACTATCTGAGTAGTTTATCATAGCACAGAAGGGCTTGCTGCATAGCCGTGGTCCCTCCCTTCTGCCCCTAGGAAGCCCGGCCTCCTTTCACTAATACCACCACCCCCATGCCCTGGACTCACCAAGAAGTATGTGTTCAGGTGGACAGCAATCTCCGTGATGCAGGAGACCTGGTCCTTTGAAACTGGAGGATTCCACTGAATATTCTGAGGCACATTCGCCAGTGGGTTAAAAATCTCTTCTCGGACTTTCTGCAGCATAATGCTGTAAGTCTGATCTTGACAATAAACCAGCTGCTCCATTTTGAACTGAATGTGGATCAACTTTTCAGCGTTTTCTATCTCTTTGGCTTTTCCGAATTCAATCATGCTCTGGTTAGATGAAAAAGACAAACTTGTTACCTTGTTTTCTCTCTTCCCTTGCGTAAGCAGTTTAGGAAGCTGTTATGTTTGAGGCCAGCATTAAAAATAATCCAATGTCAAGGCAGGGCTGACATTTTAATGGTGATTTCCAGAGGGTCCTTCCCACCTCACCTGCTCCTATCATCACCTCCCCCTCCCCACCCCTGCCATGCTGCCAAACTGCCGTCCCTCCTTTCTTCTCTTTCTCTCCACCCCGCTCCCCCACCAGCTGCTTGCCCCCTTGCTCAGTCTTGGTCCACATTTTTCTGATGGTGCTAGTCACTCTGCTGACTCTTGTGCTTGAATCCAAGCCCTCACGAATGACTCCAGGGCCACTGAGTACGGTGTATGACACCTGGGTGTATTTACCTCCCAGAAATCCTGAGACTCCTACATCACCCGTGCATTCAAGGGTGTTGTAGGAGATGGGGTGACACAGTAGAGCAGTCTCACTTCTGTGGGCCTGATGTATGTGTCCCCCAAATCAGTATGTTGAAATCTTAACCCCCAAGGTAATGGTTTTATGAGGTAGAGACTTTGGAGGTGATTAGGTTACGAGGGTGCAGTCTCATGAAAGGGATTAGTGCCCTTGTAAAGGAGGCCCCAGAGAGCTCGCTATCTTCCAGCCCTGTGTGGACACCTGAGAAGGTGGTGGCCGTCTGCAGCCTGGAAAAGAGTCCTCACCAGAACCCCATCGTGCTGGCACCCTGACCCCAGACTTCCAGCCTCTGGAACAATGAGAAATACATTTTTGTTGTTGATAAACCACTCAGTCTACTGGGTACTTTGTCGTAGCATTGGGAATTAACACAGTCACATTTTGTCTTTGAGTTTCAAAAAGACTTTTAAAAACTGAAGGGAGAGGCTTTGAGCCAGAAAGAGGGTGAGTTTCGCAAGTGAAGTTTCACGGGTGCTGGTTTCTCTTCCCCTATCTGGAGTGTGTATGGCCACAGTGGACATGGTCTGATGCCTGAGAGCGGATCTGTGGCCTGTGCCTCATTCTTGAGATTTGTGACATAGAAGGGACAGGACCAGCAGTCTCTGATGTGCTCAGGAGGAGCAGAGTAGCAACAGTGGAGTGAGTGTGTGGGCTGCAACCCCTGGAGGTTCAGAGGCCATTGCAAGGCCGTGTCTGTCTCTAGGGGAGAGAGGGAAAGGCCCTCAGTGTATACCAGAGGTCCTGAGGTCCCAGAGCAGTCAGGGACAGCAGCAGAGGCACTTCCTGCCCTGCAGGGCTGGACGAGAGTTCTGGGTAAACAGCCCTGAGGGGGGGAGCCCTGAGAACCCCAGGAACCAATGCCAAGGCCTGGAAGGATGGAGGCCATCTTGGTGATGGAGAGTCAGGCATGTTACCCACCCCATGACAAGGTGCCCAGGATGTAGACAGTGCCCCTGAGGAAGTTGTCGGGAGTCAGAACTGAGATTTAATTTTGCCAACTGGCAATAGGGATGAATGGAGAAACTAAGTTAAAGTTTGAAAAGGTGACAGCAATTCTCTTCTTGTCTGTCTGAGTTGTGGGTGGAGATTTCAATCCCCAGCCCAGGCCTGGGAAGACGAGGACTTCCAGGGTGGGGGCTGCAACACTCACTCCCTTGCCTTTCCTGAGAGGTGGCTCGGGGCAGAGTTCTAAGTGGAAACCCATAGAACGTGACAATATTTTTTAATCAAACTTATACAAGTTTTGGAGTAGGACTAGCAGCCAATGCTTTCCTTTACTCTTGAAAAAGATTCTGACTATCGGCCAAACCGAGGTAGTGCCCCACGTCCCGCCGGAGGTCCTGCAGGACAGATGGCCAGGCCACATGCCTTGTCAAGACGACTCTGGAGCAGAAGACGAGGACGTGCACGCTCCTGGGGGCACCAGCTCAGCTACACTGCCATTTGCAACCCTGGCCTTGTAGTCCCAACCACAGTTAATATCCAACTTCTCTCAAAAGATAGACTGAGATAAAACAGCTACTAGCCTGGCAACCAGCAAGTGAACTGAGCACTTACCTGGGCTTCTTGACAAAGGTTGGAATATTCACTAAAATTTTTTTTGGCCGTATCAATGAAAGCTTGATGGACAATTTCTGATTAAAAAAAAGAGAAGAAGAAGAAGAAAAAAACATTAATCAGTAAAATGCAAGCAGGAAAAAACAAATCCATTAAAGATACCAGCAGCATAATTGGTGATACACTGACCCCATTCTAGGGCTGAGCTCCCTAGACCTGCAGACCAAGAGAGGAGAGGGTGGGACATGATCCCTGGGAGGAAGGCAGTTCCGCCACCATTTCTCACCCTGTCTGGGGTGTGTGTTCTCTCCACGGTTAGCACCTGACCATCCCTCATGTGGCTAACGCTCATGTGCCCTCTCCAGCCCTGCCCAGAGGAGCCCTTCTGCCCTGCCCTTCATGTGTCTGAGGGACAGGCAGAGAGCCTTGACAGTGCTCAGGCGCAGCCTCGTCAAACTTAAATATGCTCCAACCCCGCTGGAGACCGTGGTCCTCATCTTTAAGGTCAGAAGCTGTAGATCTGACCAGTGTAGGGTGGCCGGCCAGTGCACAGACAGTGCTGTGTGTGATGAGACTATTCCAGTCCTTCCCTCCCAGGCATCAGGGGCTGTGCAGGGTACTGAGGGACAACTGGAGGAGTGCTGAGGGTCCTCACCAGCGACCCTCTGGAGTATGTCAAGTGCGGGGTCCACCAGCTGCTGGATGTACTGACGCACGATGATCTCGAACGTCTTGTAGTTCAGAAATCCAGGAAGCTCTTTGCCGCGATACTGCTTTTCATATTTTGTGACTTCTTCATGGATGATAGTATTAACTGCAACATGTAACAGGTCACCATAGTGAATTCTAATAACTCCATAGACATTTTAAAGATAGGAAAAGGTTTTTAAAGTCTTCCCCACAATGTACCTGAAAGCAGAGTTTCAAAATGGAGTTTTGTTCATAATGGAAAAAAGAAAAACAGGCATGATCTGATAGTGGTAGTTCAAGAAATACTAACTTTGGCTCGGCGCCTGTGGCTCAACCGGCTAGGGCGCCAGCCACGTACACCTAAGGTGGCGGGTTCGAATCCCCAGCCCGGGCCCGCCAAACAACAATGACAGCTGCAACCAAAAAATGGCCGGGCGTTGTGGCGGGCACCTGTGGTCCCAGCTACTTGGGAGGCGGAGGCAGGAGACTCGCTTGAGCCCAGGAGTTGGAGGTTGCTGTGAGTGTGATGCCATGGCACTCTACCCAGGGGGACAGCTTGAGGCTCTGTCTCAAAAAAAAAAAAAGAGAGAAAAAGAAAAGAAATACTAACTTTTAAGAAACAAAAATCTTACTCTACAAAAATGCATTTCAATTGAGAATCATGGCTCCAAGAAAAACAAAATCCGATTATTTAAATGAAAATAGGAACTCAATCTTATCCCACTTAGAGGCCTCCCAAGTACACATCCACAGACCATGGTAAGAGGGATCCACCATGGAAGTAGACAGTGCTGTTTTTATCAAGTGCCAGAATAAAATTACCACAACACCAACAATGGTGTGTGCGCACAAACACATTCACACCGTGACTCACTCACACACTCACACTGTCACACACTCACTGTCACTCATACACACTCACACTGTCACACACACTGTCACATACACTGTCACTCACACACACTGTCACATACACTGTCACACACTGTCACATACATTGTCACTCATACATACACTGTCTCACACACACTGTCACACTCTCACTGTCACACACTCATGCACACACTGTCGTGCATTGACACAATGTCACTCACACTCTCACTGTCACTCACACACGCACACACTGTCACGCACTGACACTCACAATGTCACTCACACTCTCACTGTCACTCACATACACTGTCACACACTCATACTGTCACTCACACACACACTGTCACACACATACACACCCTACCTGCATCTGGGCTGGAGCACCTGAGACTCAGAACTGTGCCAGGGGAAGCCAAGAGACTCTTATTAAACCAGGAATCTCTCTGCTTTGGGATTAGGGGTGCAGAGAAGGGGAGTTGGGGAAGTGGAATGTTTTAGTTGCCTGGCTAACACACTGCCACTTCATCCAGTCTTTGCTTTTTTCTAAAACTGAATCATGGCACCCTAGCCCTTCTACAGGGCCATAGTGAGCGAGACTTCATGTGGCTTCCCTGGCTTCCCTGCCCCTGTACCCTGAAAGCCAGGCTATGCTCTATCTCAATACCAGCAAAATGAAAAATGTCCCAGGTTGCTTCTTCCTCCAGGTCAAACTCGAAAGCTGGTGTTTAGCCACTTACTGAAGCCTCTGTGCCTGGCGTGTCCTCAGGAACCCCCACCTAGCCAGTAGGTGTGCTGTCCACTACAGCAGCTGGACAGCCTTGCTGGGAGCTGGCTCCCAGGTCATCCTGACACCTGCCATGGGTGTGGGCTCCTCTTGGGGAACTCAGGATCACCGGCCTGGGGTGCTCTGGACTTTCTCAGATGGGCATTGAAAGCCATTTAAGCTCAAAACCAAGAGCAGGTGGGAAGTCGGGAGCAGTAGAATGGCCTTTGCTGACCTGGTGAGGGCAACTCTGTCTGGAAAGGTCTCACTAGTGGGGCAGGCACTGCTGGTTACTAAGGGCCCCGGGTGTCCTGTACAGGCACATGCAGCTCTCTGCACTCTCAGGATACCCCCAAATAGCCTCTGTTCTTGGTACATGTGATGATGCTTTTGGGATTGCTCCGGGACTTACCTTTATGAGTGTTGGCTGTCAGCACATCACACCAGCATTTAAATTCCTCTCTGAGTTTGTTATACAAGCGGCTCTCGTTCTCCTTGATGATTTCTTCTCCTTCTATTAACTTTTCAATGTCCTGATTAAACATCTTAATTTTCTGAAAACGACAGTGAGTCATCAGTCTGTGCTGTGACTGCAGAGCCTGCTGCTCGGGTCGGTCTGTTTATTTTTTTTGAGACAGAGTTTCGCTATGTCACCCTCAGTAGCAGCTGTGGTGGGACAGTTCACAGCAATCTCCAACTCTTGGCCTTAAGTGATTCTCTTGCCTCAGCCGCCCAAGTAGTTGGGAGTACAGGTGCCTGCCACAATGCCTGGCTATTTTTTGTTGCAGTTGTCATTGTTGTTTGGTAGGCCCAGGCCGGGTTGGAGCCGCCAGCCTCGGTGTTATGTGGCTGGTGCCATAACCACTGTACTACAGACGCCAAGCCAGTCAGGTCTTTCTGAAGGAGGTCCCACCCACGTCATCTCACAGGAGGGGCCGTGGGGGTGGGACAGAGCTCCTGGCACCGCTCTAGGCCTCGGACCTGCAGTCGACCCGGGAAGGATGCAGGGTGCTATAGAGTCCCGCGGAAATCCTCACCTCTATAAGAAAGAACATCTTGTCGGCCTCCTGGATGGGGACGTCGGCCCCGTACCTGCGCAGCTCCTCTGTCGCCCTCTGGTGGTGCTCCTTTATTTCATTTTCTAACACAGGGAGTGATCTCTGAACAAAACACAGACTCTGTAAGGTGACGGGCCAAAGGGACTGTGACCAACTGGTCAACCTATGGGGGTGGTCAACACTAGGTCTGCTGGTGAGTATACATGGTACATGTCCAGTCTATGAGAATTAGGTCAATTTAAGGAGGTGGCCAGCACAGGGAGGCCGTGAGATTCCATTCTAGTTCCAAATGTGAAGCTGCAGCTGAATGAGATTGGCCACCAAATTTTCTAGGCACATGGGTAGGATCCCATTTTAAAGCATGCAGGAGGATTTAGAATTGTATCATCGCATGAATCTCACTAAGATTCACACCTGTCCAGAGAAGGCTCTGCATGCCACGGGCAGGGACCACAGCTGGAGTGACCTGGTGTGGGATGTGGCTGTTATTATGCCATGCAAGTGGTGAGAAATGGGGTGGTGGTCACATCATTTGTTTTGTTGTTGTTTGATTTGGCTTGGTGCCTTGTGTTCAGAGAACAAGTACACTCGAGTATAATGTAGGGGTTCTTTAGTAAAATGTTACGGTGGTGAGAATTTGAGTGTTATAACTGGAAAATGGTGCATCTTGGGTGTTGGCAACCTTCTCTACATCTCACTTAACCCCCACACTGCAGTACTCTGCCCCTTTTTTGCCAGAGAGGAAACTAAGGCTCAGATAATCCAGCCATCTGGGCAGGAGGGGGGCACTGAGGGTGAGAGGTGGTCTGGGGGGTCGGTCAGCACACCAAGACTGGGCAAGATACATCACACCAAGAAATTAATAAGGTCTCGGAAGCTCTTTGGGGGGACAATTTGTGTATTAATTTCTGATATTTTAAATTATTATCATTATAATTGAATCTTGATTTGAATTTTGAAAATTAACTTAAAATATTACAAATGCTACATTAAAATATAAATGTTAAGAAAAATGTTATCAAATAAGTCATCAAAATGCAACTTTTTTTTTTCAAAAAAGATATTTTCCTTAATCAGACAGGGATGTAGCTTTCAGAATCTTCTGTTGTAAATCAGGGGATTCCACTAGAATCAATGTTCCTCAAAACCTGTACCCAGGATCACTTGAGAGCC